GTCAAGGTCCCCAGCAAAACCGTCCTCGTGCTAATTGATCACCTCGATAGACGCCGGTCAATGCAATTATTGCGATGACCCTGGGCACATTATCAAATACTGCCCAAAATATAAAGATGCCCGACGAGCTGCTGCAGAGTCAGCAAAAGGCAACCACCAGTAAGGGTAGCAACTGCCCTTACCCTAGACCATGTGGAGATGAGTGCGCGCGCCAAATAAAAACTCCCAACCCACATGTGTCTATGGCAGAGGTTGCTGGCCAGCGCCTAGTTAGTTGTCCAAAGCCTTCTCGTGTTAGTCTCTCTAGACGCTTCCCTCACAGGACTGGCATAAAAGTTGAAAGAGAGAATGCCAACCTAGGCCAAGATGAAGAAAGATGGAAAAGGGCAGCTACTGTTAATACATGTAGAAGTCTTTAGAGGCACGATAGGGACCCTTATAGATAGTGAGGCCACTCGTACCTACATTAGCCGTAAAGCGTTGAAGAAGTTGAAGTTGAATCTGAAAGTCCAGAAGCTAGATGAACCCATGGTCAGTATCCTTGCAGATAATTGCACGATGCGAATCGAGGATTACGTTGATGGAGTCCAGGCGCATTTCTACCCAGAGAAAGATGGGAAGGTAGAGAGAGTTCTCCACTCCCTGACTCTCCTTGTAGAGGACAATCTCCCGTTTGATATGGTCCTAGGAATGGACTGGGGAAAGGCAGCAGGAGCCACATTGCACCTAAGAGAGCATGAGTGTAGGCTTCCTAGTCGTTTAGGTGGTGTCAAGACGGCCCGCCTATTCCATGTGTCAGGAGTAGACAACCCTCTTGCACATTGTTGTCTCAGTGCTCCCTCGTTCGCACGACTAGTGAAGGAGCAGTTAAAAGAACAGGTCTTTGTGGCCTATGTTAGGCCTGTCACTAAGCCTAAGCAAGAGAAACCGACTAACCCCCTTATTGCCAAGCTGCTGGAAGAGTATGCAAATCTGTCAAAGGCTCCCTCGAGAGCAGTTTTGCGTCCTATCTAGCACCACATTGAGATAGAGCCTGGCAGAAAGATTCCCAAGGGAGCAGTGTATAGGATGTCTCCCAAGGAGTTGCAGGAGCTGCGCAGACAGTTAGTCGAGCTCCTCGAGAAGGGGTGGATTAGGCCCAACTCGTCTCCATTTGGAGCACCTATTCTCTTTGTCCCCAAGAAAGAGGGAGAATTTAGAATGTGCATTGACTATAGGGGTCTCAACGCCGTTACATTGAAGAATGCAGAACCACGGCCCCGTATACATGATCTATTGGCTCGGGTGCAAGGCTGCAAGTACTTTTCCAAGATAGATTTGAAGTTAGGGTACCCGTGGATAGAGGTTCACCCTGATGATCACTACAAAACGACGTTTAGAACTAGGTACGGGCACTACGAGTTTATAGTGATGCCCTTTGGACTAACCAACGCACCGACCACATTCCAGTGGTGTATGAATGATTTGTCCAGATCGTGGTCAAATAGATTTGTAGTTGTTTACCTAAATGACATTCTGATTTTTAACAAGACCCTCCACAAGCACGAGGCTCATCTGAGGCAGATCTTGAAAAAGTTGTGTGAAGCAAGTTTCAAGATCAACCCAAAGAAGTGCGAATGGGCCAAGACAGAGATTTTGTACTTGGGCCACCTTTTAGATGGTGATGGCATAAAGCCTGAGGACAGCAAGATCGCAACGATCAAAGACTAGCCAACTCCTAGTACACTAACAGAGTTGAGATCGTTCTTAGGATTAGCTAACTATTACAGGAAGTTTTCGAGGAACCTCTCTGCAATCGCTACTCCCCTTCGCAAACTGCTAAAGAAAGAGGCAATCTGGAAGTGGGACCAAGACTGTACATCGGCCCTGAAGAAGTTGAAGCGGGCCTTGATAGAGTACCCAGTCCTCAAGGTAGGTGATCCACCCTTACCTTTTGACATTACAACTGATGTGAGTCAGTATGGTCTTGGTGCTGTCTTACAACAAGATGATGTTAATGGGTATAAAGTCTATAGACCCGTGGATTTCATGTATGCTAGGTTGCCTTCTGAGAAGGTAGCGACATCCACTTATGAGAGCGAACTCTACGTTCCCAGGCAAGCATTAGACCACTGACAACACTACTTGCTTGGGAGGCACTTCAAAGTTTATTCAAACCACTAAACATTGAGGTGGTTGAAGACGCAGGCCAAGATGACACCTAAGCTTACTAGGTGGGCGACCAAGATAGATCAATTCGACTGTGAACTCAAGCCAGTCAAAGGAAAGTATAACGTGGTAGCAGAAGCCCTTAGTAGGAGAGCCGACTACTTTGGAGCCATAGTTCACTATCTGGATATAGGGTCAGACTTACAGCAAAAAGTCATAGACGTGTACGCACAGGACCATGCCTTCCCAACAACGAAGAGATCCGTAGTCTGATCCTTGGGGAATGTCACTATATAGAAGGGCACTTCGTATGCCTTCCCAACAACAAAGAGATCCCTAGTCTGATCCTTGGGGAATGTCAGCATACAGAAGGCCACTTCGGTTGGCAAAAGACACTCGCCAACCTGATACGAGCCTACATGTGGCCTGGCATGAAAGTTGATTGTATAGAGTACGTGCGTAGTTGCAAGGTACGCCAGCGCAACAAAACTACGACGCGAGCCCCATTAGGTCTTCTTAGACTCTTGCCTATCCCATCAGGACCCGGAGACTCTGTGTCCATTGACTTCATGGATGCTGGGGTCAGGAGTAGGCATGGCAAGAGCTAAGTCATGGTCATAGTACACCGGTTTAGCAAATATGCAATTTTTGTCCCTTTGCCCTCTGAGGCACGCACATAATTAGTGACAGAAAAGTATTTTGATGCCTGGGTAAGCGAACACGGTATTCCACTGTCCATAGTGAGTGATAGAGACACGCAGTTTACTAGTCAGCATCGGCAGGAGCTTATGAGAGTCTATGGCTCAAAGTTGTTGATGTCATCTGGCCATCATCCAGAGACAAACGGTCAGACTGAGCAAATGAATAAGATCCTGCAGCAGATACTCAGGTTGTATATTAGACCCGATCAGATTAACTGGGATGAGATGCTCCCCAAGGTAGCTAGCGCCTACAACAACAGCGTTCACTTAGCTACCTGCAGAACTCCTAATGAGTTCCATAAGTCCTTTAGACCACGCAGGTCGTTTGAAGGACTAAATCGTGAGCAGGAACAAAGACTGCCACCCGGAACTAGAGAGTTTGCGCTGCAGCACGAGAGGGAAATTGCAAAAGTGACTGAGAATCTGAGAAAAGCGCAGCACAAGATGATAGAGCAAGCTAATAAACATCACCGCCCATCACAGTTCCAGCTGGGACATTTAGTCTGGGTCAAGTCTAAGGAATTCCCCCCACAAGAGAACATCTCACAAAAGCTGTTACCAGCATACAGGGGACCGTGGCCTGTCCTAGAAGTAAAAGGTGGAGAGGACGGACCATCCTACACAATTGAGATACCAGCACACCTCCACACATACCCCGTCTTCCACGCATCAAAGTTGTTGCCTTGCGTCACCACTCAGCAGTTTCCATCGCGTCAGTCAATGATTCCGCCAGACATGGATGGTGCATATGACATAGATCGCATTGTGGAAGAGGATGTGTTCAGAACTGGAGGTAGGGGTCGTCCCCAGAAACAGTACAAAGTCAGGTTCCCTTATCAGGAACCCGAGGATGACCGCTGGTTCACAACAACAGAGGTTCTACAGACCGTTCCCAACATAGTGCACGCCTACGACAGAGAAAGGAAAGGTAAAGGTCCTGCCTGGCATTGAAGTATTCTTGGAGGACCTCGAATTTAGGCCGGTGGGCGTGAAACGGTTTTCACCTTTACGGTAGCAGATGCAGTTCCCAGGGCTCGATCCCTAGACCTCGCACTCACCCCGTGTACAGTATTAGTTGACCCGTGTGAGCCTGAACCCACAACCTGTGTCTTGAAAGTCGTTTGTTTGCTTGCTGTAGGTAGCGTGGTCGTCGGGTCTCGAACAGTAGGTTTGTAGATTAGAAGTCTTAGCAGTGGTAGGATTTGTAGCTGCTACAGTACCAAAAGGTCAAGTCCACAGCCTTCCGAAAGAACTGGAAGTGGCCTGCGTGGAGTCCTAGGCTACAGTCCATAGGCAAGTGGGCAAGTGGGCAGTCTCAACCAGCCCAGTCAGTGGTCGCACCTTGTCAAGTCAGCAAGTACCATATGGGACTGTGTGCACCCCGGTCCCAGGGTCCAAGGGCAGACCTTCGACATTTCGAAGTATAAATAAAGATGCAGCATCAAGTCATTCATTCATTCTGCCTGTGAGCCGTGTGGAAGCACTGCCTGAGCGTCTTGTGCCAGGAGGTCTGCAGCTGCCCGTAGGAGAAGTGTGCTGAGAGGAAGAAGACGCGGCCATAGCCGCTGGTATTGTTAGTGTAGGAAAAGGCATCCATAGCTGCCTTAACTTAGTAGTAGGCTGTTAGTGTGTGCGTGTGTGCGTGTATGAGTGTGTTCGTGTTTGAGTGTGCGGCACATCCAAGGAGATCCAGAGTTGCATGTGTATGAACAAGTTGCTGGGTATGCAGCGATCGGCCATAGCCGATCGAGACAAAGTTTGAATCGGAGCTGTGTTCTTGGCCTCGTAATCTCTGAGCTGTGTGTGGGCGCCAGTTTGATCGTCATCTGTTTGTGACCATGCTGAATGTCGTGAAGACAAGTCTGATTGCAAGTCCATAGACGGGCCGTTTAACAAGAAAATGGAAAAGCAAAACAGGCTACAACCGGATCAAGTGATTTTCCAGCAACTAGGGCTGCGATTGTCTGTCCATCACAAAAGCACCATGTGCCCATCCACCCAACCATCCATATCTGCATGGAACACATGCGTTCATCAAGCACCTCCCAACTCATCCATCCGTTCATTCATCTGAAAGTCCGACTAGCAACCATGCATCCGTAAACCAACCATCCATACATGTGCATCCCCTTTGATTGAGAGAATGCCTACCCAAGAGGCCACCCATCACGCCAAGCATAGCCATTGGCAGAAGTTCAAAAAACAGATAGTCATCTTGCCATCTGTCAATCATCACCACAGGAACACCAACACAGACAATGACAACCATATCAGCTTACTCACCTGACATATCAATAGTAGGTATGACAGATGTGACTCTCTCTCTCTCTCTCTCTATCTCTCTCTGTGTATATATATCGTCAAATAGAACTGCCCGGTAAACCGTAGGCAGAGAGGGAGAAGAGGACAACAAACGAGGGGCTGTGACAAACTGTGTATATATATATATATATATTGTCACATCACTACAAACTAAAAGAGCGCACTTTGCGGAACAAAGAATAAAAGCAAAAAACGGGCACAGTGATAACATGCAAAAATAAAAATGAAAAGAAAAACAAAAAGAAAAAACAAGGGCAGATTGAAACCATTAAATTTCTCATTCTTCTTTGAACTCCACCTCCACTGTGCCTCTCTCGTGCAAGGCTCGCCACGTTGATGAAGCTGAGCGCGAGCTGCCCCCATCCCCGTATGCCATAACAGCCCACTTGCACGCTGTGAGAGAGGCAGAGTGAAGGGGAAGGTGTTAAACACAGGGAAAAGCTCAAGAATGAGGCTGTCCTTGAC